GACCTGAAGCCTTGAAGACCTGAAGCCTTCTGACGACCTGAAGCCTTCTGACGACCTGAAGCACCGTGTCTTCGCGCAAAAGTCACAACCCGCTTCTGCCAACGCAATGAGACTCTCCAACCAAAGAAAATGCATACGGCAACACTCAAGCACTCCAACCCCAAGAACAAATCTGAAAAAAAACGGGTCCTCACCCACATGTCTGCTCAGCACCATTGTCAAATGGAAGTTTATGGCTAGCTACTAGTACATCTAGTACCACCAACACCGACCACTTCCAATATCTTTCAATTTCCCACAGCCGATTGAAATCGGTCGAAGACCATTTTTTCTTTTTGACGTGGTCCTGTCGAAGTCTCGGTCTTTCGAAGACGCAACTTCAGCATTTTTCCCAAGAAGTGGCCGTGTTGCTCAAACCTTGCCATGTTTGAGGTGCTTTGTGGGCCTGAAAAGCTCAGCTCAACGACCACGTTGAGAAGAAATCGTGTTCGAACCTTGCCCGGTTGGTGGGGGGCCGATGTCACTCATTGACCCTAACGACCAACAAAGTCTGGTGAACCTCGCGTGACGTCGCTGTCTTCTGGGCAAACATGTCATCAAACCCAACCCACCATCCATTCCCCAACAATTAATAACATCATATAACATCCAACAAAATCAATCCCTCCGGGCCATCCAACAATCACCCGGCCTCCATGCTCACCCAGCGTGCCGTTTGCGCCGCCCCGGCACCGCGCCGCGCCAGGCCGACGCCCCGCAGCTGCGATCGACCACCGCCCAGCGGCGCGGCTTGCGCCGCCGGGCGGCGCCGCTGCCTTAGAGAAACAACGGCCATCGTTTTCAGCACTTTGAAGGAGATGTGACCTGATCTTTCCTTGTTTAGCCTGAGGGGTTGATGATTTTGGTATGTGCTCATAGAAAAGGCACTCCGCAGAAAAAAGCTCTGCGGGATGATGCCTTGGGGGGAAGTGAGGTCTTCGCGCCCCTCACTTGGCTTCTCCTCGGCTGTCCCGTTCGGCTGTCCAGTGATGGGTCAATTTTTTTTCTGGGGTGTACGGTTTACTTTGTATCCTCCTTTGTTGGCTTCAGATTCAGATGTGTATGTCATGTCATTTTTTCGGGCCGCAGGTGCCTTCCCATCTTTTGCAACTGTCAGATTCTTGGAGACGCGGCTTCCCCCCACGACATCTGCTCACCTCACTGCCATCCTGTGTGGAACTCGGCCAAGTCTCGTGGAGTCCGGCGGTTGAATTCCCCACGTACCATCAGCGACTAACCTGACGTTGGACGAGGAGTTAAACAAGTTTGGCACTCCTCACGGCTCACGTTTTGGCACTCCTCACAACCCTGATATGACCATCGGACCCTGTTGGTGTTCCTACGACTTCCCTGGCAAGGAGCAGCCGCGGCGCGCGTTGCGACCTCGTCGGCGGGGCATGAGGCACGTTCGGCCGCCCCTCCTTCGGTGCCTTTGGTGCACTGGGTGGCTGAGCACCTGGCGCAACGAAGCAGGGGCCTTTTGGAGGCCCCTTTTTGGAGCAAAGCCTTTGGACGGCAGAATGTGCCAAAAGGGTTTCAACCGGACGTGGCTTGAACCTCAACACTCAATACATCTCAGCACTCTGTTTGACATTGTTTGACTTCCAACCGGTCGAAAGGAGTGCCTTTTAACTACCCATTTAAACTCCAGTCCGTGTTCATCCCGGTCTTTGCACGAGCCAAACAAGAATGGATGGCAAAACCAACAACCAAAGCAACGTTCGACTCGGAGGAGTCCAGATGGACCACCATGACCCATGACACCAAACACACACTCCAACATCTTGCCTGCGAGCTTGCACAATGGTGGCAGCTCTGTCCCATTCAGCACAGCCTGGAGACAGGGAATGCTGGGACATGCCTGATGGCCCCACTTTCCGCAAAACTGTTTCGCATGTCACGAGGATGAGTGTTGATGTTGATTGACCCAATCGCACGTGTCGATCTCAATCTGTTGCTGCACTCCAGAACTCCGAGCAAAAAGCCTTGCTTTTTCCAATTGTCGCTCATGCATCCTTCAGGATACACGCTTTGGACAGAGATCACAGAGTGAGTTTAGCATTTAAATCGAACTGAGACACACTCTGGCTCACGTTCCATGGAAGTGGATGGCATGGCCCCGTAAGGAAGACGTCTTTCCTCTAGAAACACGGGTTGTCCACTTCCATGGAACGTGAGCCAACGTGTGGTCGAGTCTTCCTCACTGATTCCAAAATTCCCGCCCACACAACGACAAGTTGGGCCATAAGACTGTATAGCATCCAAGCTGGTGCCCTTCATTATATAGGCCCTTATATAGAGATCCCCCATTAGGCCCAGAGTTTGGAGAATTCCCAGGTTGAGCAGTGGCCTCTTCCAGAAGCGCCAAGTGTCGAAGCGCCGGCATTTCACCTGGCCCCATTCACCCGACTGAGGAGCAGCAAGAAGAGACACACAAAATACATCAAAATACAATTTCCAGTGAGGGATGGGTCAGAAAGTGGCTTTTGTCTACCAAGTGTGCTAGGTAACTCAAGGACCATCCTTTTTCTATCATGTTCACCTTAGTGCCCATGTGTCTGACCAAGTTGCGAGAATGTTTGGATTTGGGCACTACTAGGTCCAGCTATCTATCAGAACAACACCCCCCTAAACAACCCAAACAGTCAATGGAGTTTGTTTCGCTCACCCAGATCGAAACACCCCTCTCGTGGCTGCCTGCTGCTTGTCCACACTCGGTCGGGGCATGCACCAGACCCAGTAGACGCCCAGGGCGCTGCTGTGGCCAAGTTGGTGCCGCTGCTGGGGCTTTCCTGACACGAGTTTTTTCCCCGCGATGACCCACATGATTCTGCATGCCTTTGTTTAAGGAGTTCCCAAGTTCTCCCTCTCTCTCTTTCCTGCTCAGGGATGTCTCTCAGGGTCATCATTGGAGAGACATCTCAAAATGCTCTTGGTTCTGTCTGAATACGTCTACTTCGGCCATGCTTGCCCCAGTATCAGCGGCCCTGGACTGCAAATGAAGGATTTAGCATGGAATGGTGTTCACCAATCCCATTTTTCCTACCCCCCCGCTGTTGATGGAAGAAAGCCTGAACCACCTAATGTCCACAAAACGCTGCAAAACGCTCCAATCAGCGAGATTTCTTGGTAATTATCCTCTATTCAGCTTGGCGCGGGCTCTTTCGACCACAATCGTCTTCATGCACATGGGGTAGCCACGCGGGCCAACCTCTCAACCCCGGCGTCGCCTCAAGCGTGAGGTGAAACGCCCTGTACGCGGCACATCTGTTTCGGGGGAAGCCACCTGAGACACATCAGAATTCCAGTAGCCAAAACAGCTCCTAGAGAAACTGGTTCAAGCAGTGATGACATGTGATGACTATGACTAACAAAAAAAGGCAACTCACAAAGGCGGCTTGAATTCATACAATGGGCCACGGGTACATTCCTGCCCCTGGTCAAGAGCAACCACTAGCTACAAAAAGCAGAGCTATGTCGGATGGGCCCTGACGAAGAAGCTACAATTCCAAATGAACCTGACATCACTGGAAACCTTTGCTCTTTGAGTTGGGTTGGTTGGGTGCTTCAAACTCCCAATCTTCACCGTCACAGTCACATGCAGCCCGGCCTTTGAGCTTCTCTCCTCTGTTACATGCTCCTTGGAGGGCACCACGGCTTCATTTGAGGGGTATTTCTTCGATGCTACAAGTAGTGTGTTGGTTGTGTGGCTTTGCGAAGGAGGAGCAGCGATAAAGATAAATAATGGTTGGTTCATGTGCTGTGGTGAACTATTACATAAATGAGGGATCAGTTGCAAGGAGTTGGCAGCGCCACCGGCTGCCACCGGGAAATCGACTAAAAGAACAAGAAAAGGAGGAACGTCGATGATCCGGAGCTTGCCTGTTCGCAATGCTCATGCACAATGTCCCTGCATATTTGTGTGCGTGTGTGTGAGCAGAAGGCTCCATCTGACTCTCTCTCTCTCTGACAGCAATAGCCAAGAGCCTGTCCCGGAACTTCAGCTACCAGCAACCAAGCCTGGATGTTCATCTATGCTCCTCCCACCAGACGGTGGAGTCCGGCCCCCCCTGCACCCTGCCTGAAGCGCCTGCTGCATGAGGTCAGGGAGAAAGTCTGGGCCATCATTCATCACCTAGGCCCAGGAGGACAAACCAACGACCGCTCATTGGTGAAGGACCTCGATTTCAGGCACACCCGGGACGCGGACATCCATGCCGAATCGAAGCGGGCGAGATCGTGGTAAGAGATCTTCCAGGCTCCATGTATTCCATTTATTCCCCAGATGCTCCATGGGACTGCCATATTTGCCTACATTGGGGTGGTTTGGGGGTTCAATGTAGGCATATATTCCATACATGGAGTGTATGAGTTCTATATGTTCTATGGGGAAACCTATGGACCTATCTGACACGGTGATCCTGTTGACGGGCAGTATGAATGCCTGGCACTTCTGAAATGTCCAGTTGCCAGTTTCCTTGGGTAGTTGAAGATGTGACCTAAACACACCACCAGCCACCCGACCTAAACAGAATGTACCCAGGGCACTTGACGTGATTAAAAGAGTGTGCTGGCAGCCTCCTGTCTCTGTCTCTACAGTTTGAAGCAAGTGGCAGCCTCCTGCTCCAACATCAGCGATTGGGCAGCTGCTTGAGCAAATCACACACCAAAAAAATAAGGGAAGCAATTGCTTGATGCTTTTGAGATTCTGCGAAACCAACAGAGCGTCCAACAAAACATCCACAAACTGTGTTCATCAAACACAATTTTGGAGCGATTAGGGCGAGAGCGCCTGGTTTGCACTTACCATGCCATCATGCCATGCCGACCCAGCGAGCAAAGCAGCACACGAGACTAAAGCAGTAGATTGCTGGATGTCTTAATGTTGCCCCACCTGGCGCTGCTGCCGCAGAGTAGCAGGAACTCACACCTCCGAGCATGTGCGCGCTGACCAGCAGGGCAATCGGTCTTCACGAGCCCCGTCAGCCACATCAGCGGCAAAGGTGCTAAGTTGGAAAATGAGGCTCAGCTCTCTAAGATGCATCAGCCCTGTAAACGTCCCGCCGCCCGTTTCAGGATCGGAGCGAGATGAACCCTGACCTTAGCAGGGAGAGCTTGCAAACCATCAGCGTCCCATCATAGCAACAATGCATAGCCCCCGATATGAGTCAAAGCAAAGACTGTGGTGCTCCTCCACACAAGCTTGTGTGGGAGCTGATTCTAGGCGGTGATCAGCGACATCACGACTATCAGGCCGCAGCCACTGGCAAGAAGGCTGCCATGTTGCTCAAAAGCCTTTCTTTCTGAGTGTCAGCTCAAAATCCCTGATCCTGAGGCAGGCCCTCCTGTGTGGTTGAAGTACATCGTCACATACCTGAAAAACCACCTCAAGTTGTGGATCTTTTGCTTGACGTACCAAAGGAATCCAAAAGAGAGAGGAGTTCTTCCAAACTGACCTTTAGAAGTTGCAGTTCGCAAGGCAAGACCTCCAGTCCGCCACCCGGATCAGGCGATGACTGAATGTTGGCAACAAAATGAAACAACCTCCCCGGCCACGGTCATCACCCTCGAGGATGAACTGAAAGACATCTATATTGTATCATTTGTGTGGTCTGGGGAGTGTCATCACCCGCTTGGTGAGCTGAAGATCACGAGCCCTTCCCTGGTCAAAACCACAAAAGCCTCGCCTCAAACCTTGGGCGGTTTGGGAGTCTCTCAGTAGCTGAACGTGCACGTGATTGCAATCAGGAAGTAGGAAGGGCCCCGCGATCTTATGAGAAACGCACGGCGATCTTGCAAGATGCACTGGGAAACCCCCATCGTCACAGATGGAGTTTCGAACACCAAACCTGTTGCCCTCTAGCACGCCGAGATGCTACAAAAGCTCTCTACCGGCAAACATGGCAATAGCAATTCAAAAGCACAATTTCGACTAGTTTCAACACCTGTAGACAAAGTTGGGACACCGATACTCAAGATCTGTGATTCTCTGACGGGGGACATGCCAACGCACTGGCCAAAATGAGGCGCTTTGTCCTTCAGCAGGGGCTCCCAGCTACGCTGGTGCAAGATTTAGCTGAAAACCAAGCCTCCGCGGATGCACCTCCGCTTTATCCAAACGCTTTGCCATATTGCGCATGAGCGCACCTGAGGCATCGCAAAGGCAGGACATCCGAAGGAAGGACGGACGAGGTCCGTGGTGCTACCCTCAAGGACCCACCCGCCAGCCCCATGGTTCATCTACCACCCCAGTCGTTTTCATCAATGTTGATCTGATGAGGGGTAAATAATGTTGATTCAAATCCATCATGCCAGCCAGCTTCATGACTTGAACATGCTGCCAAAGCTCGAAATTCCTCCTCGTCGATGACGCTGTCACCGTCAGCATCCGCTGCCTGTATCACAGTCGTCACCGCATTGTTGCAGCCAAGCACCCTGCACGCAGGTGGGCCGTCAGCGATCATTCAAAGGGACAGAAGGGGCGCTGTCAGAGCCCGGGCACTTTTCGTTGCAGCTCATTGCGCATTATGGTAGCTCCTAACTTGCTAGGATCCTTATATATCCCCATCAGACGGATAAGATTGAAAGTTGGAAGCAAAGCCTAAGCCTTCGCCTTCAACCTTGCAAAGTTCCTGCAGCTCGTCCGAAAAAATACGTGGGCGAGACAGCTAGTTCCCAGTTTAAACTTTGTACCTGGCTTCTAATACCCGATGACACCTGTTGACCTGCAGTTCTTCCCGCCCGGCCGATAGAGCTCATGCGGCTTGATCTTGCCGGTCTGGTCAATATCCAAATAGTGAAACACCTGTCGAAGAAGTCAGAGTCGCCCGCTGAGCGGTTCGTTTCAGGTTCTCCGCTGCAAACGTCTAAAGCTACGAATGTTCGTTCGCCTTGGAACATCCCAAGCAGTCAGATTGTTTTGGTGGCACAGTCGCCCAAAGCCCACAGTGACATATCATGCAGATCCTGCAGCACTCCGAACACTGAGACACTCTACTCTACACGACAGATGCAACCAACCCTGAGGTCGCCTGCTTGATCGCCTTGTCTGTGGCCAGCGTTGATGGCTTCATCGTCGCAGCGAGCCACTCGGTGTAGTGGACCTTTCCTGGCACTCAGAAAGTGATGATGGAAGCGAGCCGATATCAGACTCCCGGCCGCTCCTGCTTAAAGGATGTTTAATCATGCTGCTGCCGCTACGACTGTGACGACGACTGCGACGACAACCGCGACCCTTGCAACTATAGGAACTATAGCATGGCTCCTGTGCCATCAGCGTCCAAAGCATTGAAGATCTCGGTCAACTCGGACTCGTTGATTTGATGGCCGCACAATCGGATACCTTCCTTGGTCCGGCTCGCTGAACTGACGAGCAATCTCATAAAAAACGTGCCAAGTGTGGCTTGTATGGCTCAGCGAGCCAAGAATCTCTGATCTCCTCCTTGCTCAGCGAGCCTCGGTGAGTCAGGCTGACCAACACATCAGGCGTGGCAGCTCATGTGACGTGGCAGCGACAAGGTCACCTTGGGTGGACTTGGTCTTTTTTCAGGTCTGGAGTGGCTACCCGAAACATCCCGAAAACGCCTTTTTGTCCGGTGCTGTACAACGTGTTCAGGTCCGAGATCTCACCCATTGCACTTCGCTACAGCACAAAGGGGTGACCCGAGGGAGAATGGCCCAGCGACCTGCCATCTTTGCAACTGCAGCAGGGTGCAGCCTGGCCATGCAATAATTGACCTCTGCCTGTGCATTCACCGGGTCGGCTATCGTTTTCGAGCTTGTAGTGATGGTGCACAGTCAGCAGGAAAAATTGACTTAATTGTATATAAACAAGGGCCTGCAACTGAACCTTGCATGTCACAGGTACCTTACTTTGGCGACAGCATCATCTCTACAATGAACTTTACAGTTTGACCTGCCACCGGGAATCTTTTCACAGCGTCTTCTGTCACACCACCAGAACCGGTCTTCCCAGCGCGGTGGTCTTGGGCCGACGTGAGGGACGGCACGTGGGTCCTGGCTCGTCCTCCTCTGAAGGCTCCGAAGGGTCCTCCAAGTCGAAAAAGGTCTTGCGCACCACCAAGCGAGGTTCCATCAACTTCTCCAAACGCTCCTGGAGATGCATGGAAAACTCGCACTTCCCCAGGAACTTGGGCCCCACCTCCTCATGCATCCCTGGAGCACCTGATCCGCCATTGGCCCGGCGATACGCCGTCTTCTGCAAGGCATAGGCCTGCAGAAAGCGTTCCCGAACCAATTCCCACTCATCACGGCGAACCACACATTGATAGGGCACCAAAGTCTGGCCATCCAAGCTCTCGTAGGTGTTGACCTGATATCCCAAGCGGGCCAGGAACACCTGGAGGTAGGATGAGAGGTGGAACTTCTGCGAATTGGGCTCATACCTCAACCAGCGCCTGAGCCCATAAGGGCCCCCGGCGTCGATTTCGGTCAAAGCGGTTTCGGTCACGAAAGCAGGCAACAAAGGCATGCCACGTTTGAAGCTCTGCATGGCGAGCGTCACATAGAAGCGCTCATCTTGCTTTCGAAGCTCCGCGATGCCAGGGCGGTTCAGGTAACTCACTGCCGTGCTCCTGGCAGAGCTCAAGACGAGGCAGAAATGTTCCTGGGCCCACTGGGCAAAGCGATCCTCATAGACCCTCAGCACCACATAAACAGTGAAAGTCTCTTTGGTTGCACTGGGTCGTACCAGGATCATAAACTCATAGGACCGATCCTCGGCTTCTTCTTTGTAAAAGGCACAGCCACTATCGCCTGCCTTGGGATAGTTCCTTCGCACCTCCTGATGCCACGCCACCGAGCCGGCATCAAAGAAGTAGTCCATCACTTGTCCGGCCATGTCTCCGAACAGCACGGCGCAAAGCCTCACGATGCTCCAGGAGCTCGTGGCTTCGACCACCGCCTCGCCCGGCACCACGAAGTCCACTGAGTTCACCGTGATGCCGTTGATGGGACATTGATCCGGATGAAGGGATCGAACTTCCGGGCGCACCATCACATTGGCTGGATCCGCTGGCGCCTCATGGATGGTGATCTCCTTGAGTTCAAACTTGATCAGGTGACCCCCCCAGGGGCAGCTGGTGTTCATCAAGGCCGCGTCAGAGGTGACCATGGCCTTGTTCCAGCCGTTCTCCTCCAACAGGTGGGGCATCAACTGGCACCAATCCTCCACTGATTCTGGTCGCAAGGCCATGGTGATAAGACAAGCTGCTGCGCACGCGTCTGGTGCACACGAGAGGGTGATTCCACGTGGTTTCGTGGCTTTTGATCCGCAAAGTCCAAGGACCTGTTTCAGTGAAGCACGAGCCATGTTCACCATGAAACCAGCTTTCAACTTAAACCTCGGCCAAGAGCATTCATCTAAGGGTGCATCCATTAAATCATATGAAATCCATCGTTCGCTCAATCTCTCAAACCTAACCAACGGATGGACCAACGGTTTCTTTCGCCGTGGCGCCCGTTCTCGAGGTGTCGAGCAGGTGGAAGGTATCTCTCAGCTCAGCGACCTGTTGCTCCTGGACGTGCGCAGAACGCGGGTGTCCGGGGACCAGGCCAAATCGGTGCGAAATCGGAGCGAATCTCAACGGCCAGGTTTGGTCGTTTGCGAATTGGGTCTCAGCCTGTTTGAACCTATTCGCTTCTGTCTTTTTCGAGCCAAC